TTGACTTTCTTCACTTCCACATCAAAGACGAGGTTAGCGTTAGGAGGGATACGCCCACTGACCCCTTGAGATCCATAGGCCAGGGACGATGGTATGATCAGGACACGCCTACCTCCTTTACACAGGCCGACTGTACCCTCGTCCCAGCCCTAGGTAGGCGGAGTCAGAATAAGGCCCAAGCCCCACCCATTAGCTTACTCTTATGACTTTCCCGGCTCCGACTTTAAAGCGAAAACCTTTATCATTAGAATCAAAAACCTACATAAAGAAATAATGATCATTATGACAGCAGTGCATGTGATTGTCATGTGATATTCACTCACTTTTCCAATCCCGTTATTCTCCAGTAGACTACCTGTATATACCACTTCAACAGAATCACCTTTATCAACAGGCTAGAGGGGGAGAGAGAGAGAGAGAGAGAGAGAGAGAGAGAGAGAGTGATCGTTGAAAATGATGATAGTTCAATAGTTACCTGTCCTTCTCCTAGAACTAAGTCTTGTTTCAAAAGTTGAGAAAAAGCTGGACCAACACTATTAGCCTTACAAACTGCAATCTAAAAATTAAAAAGAATTAATACAACCCCATATACATGTACATGTACACTTACTTCCTTAGCTAGTTTAACAGCATCTTCAGTACTGGTAAAATGAAGTGACCATGCCTGCCTAGCATCGTCATAAAAACTCGCATAATTACTAGCTTGAATCTAAAGAAAAAGAGGATCATAAAGAGATGTACTTCATGAACAATGTACATGTACAGGTACTTACAGTCATGTTGAAAGAGGTGTCAACTTTAACAGAAGTGACATGTTTATTATTAGACAAATATAATAACATCTTGTACTAGAGAGGGAGAAAGAGAGAGAGGGAGAGAGTTAATTCAATAATTGAAGATGAAAGTACATGTACATTGTAATGGGGTATATCATGTGTGTATTAATGTATATACAATGGGAATTAAAACAACATTATTATTAATATCATTAATTTATTAAAATTATTGTCTTGTATTATTAACTTACGTCTCTACTTGAGTGAAGCCCTATTAGTGCACACCCTAACTTGCCCTGAGGCTGATAACGACCATCAACGCTAAAAATAAATAAATAAATAAATAAATAAACAAATAATTTTAAATGATTACTGTTTTTGACAGTCAACTGAAACAGCTGCTAAAACTTGCTGCGACTCTTGACCACTCCCACTCCCTGTGTAATAAAGTTGTATTGTTATTATTCCTGCCCTAGCCCCACCCTCCTCCCTTTCAGCCCCTCCCACTTTACCTTTCTGCTTTTTGGGTTGCTTCGGAGCTTTATAGGTGAGAGATTCATTGCCATGGCTACCATCCATTGCAACACTGGCTCCAAATATGGAGGCTAGGCCAGAACCACTGGAAAAAAGAGAAAATAGTTCATTATAAAAAGTGCCACGCCCCCAACAATATGTGATCAATTATGGCTTTTCCTTACCCGCCAGGTCCTATGAAGTCATCTTCATCCATCCTCTCCCCTCTCTCTTTTAGAGTCTTGCAGTCCTAACTATCAGGAGATAATGGATGGATCCGGAGTCCTCGAAAATGACGCACGATTTCAGTGCTTCTGGTAATGTCACGTGAATACTGAAGTAGGTGCGGTCATCTCAATCTCATATGATCATTGACTCGACTGAGTCGACTCTATGCTCGACTCAGCTCATTCATATCAGCAGCTTGCCAGCTTGCAGCTAGCTTCTCTAGCTAGCCTATTATGGCTAGCTAGCTGGCCACAATAGGCGACTGGCCATAAATCTACATGTCACTGGGTCATTTTTGCCGAAATCTAGGCTACAATGGGTAATATTACATCATTTAAAAGGTGTCGAGGGGCTGCTGATCTGAGTGCTGATCTTTCCAGGCAGTGGGATCAGTATGAGCATCGTTTAAATCGATGGCGATCTGCGTCTGGAAAGTTAAAGGAAAATTTAGAGCCAAGTACTATGTGGCTGATTCAGGAAGTGGCTGATACCGGTCTTTTTTCTAGCCTTAATCAAGTTAATGTGGGTGATTTATCGAAATACATTGAAAAATATGTTGCTGTCATTAAATCCAATGTAAGTATTATGTCGGTTTAAGTTTTATAATTATTGCTCTTAAATACATAGATAGAAACAGCTTATCAAGTAATGCGTGATATTACCTCATATAGCATCAAGGAGATGGCTGCTAATGATTATCAAATGCAATGCTTCTGGTCACTTGCCGTCTCGTTTCACTCATTTGATTGTAGAATTATGCCACCCCTCAGTTTATTAAAAGAAATTAATGCACTCAGATTGATGGTAAGTTTTCTACATTTAAACATTTATCATTCTTGTTTAGTTTGAAACGGTGTATCAAAGAATACATGAATTTCTGAACATACATAAGCACAGCACATATATGTTTTATAAGGAGGAACTTGAAATTCTTGATGAAGTAAGTAAAGAGAATGTAGTGGTAGGACTGAGTTTGAATTTTACACAAATATTGAATTCACTACCTTATTCTAGTTGAAAGAAGCTGATGCTTTTACTGTTAAGTTACTACAAAAAGCAGAGTATGTTGCACGTTTCATTAGTGAACTACCTTCAGAGTACATGTATGTACTTAACTCAGATGAATTTATTTACAAAATCTTGGTAAGTCTCAGCAATTGATAATTCCTGATTGAAATGATTGTTTTTACTTCTTAGAACCCCGTCATTAGTAGTGTAAGGGACCGGATCTCCAAGCTCAATGAATTGATGCAAGCAACTGTCAAATATGCCGAGTTTATTAATGAAATGGCACATATTATAGTAATGCATATCTCCATCATTGCTCTCTTGCTGTTTATCTGCCAACCCTCTCCTGCATCTGCTACTGATATGAAGCAGTTGACGATATTTGCCACTGTTATCCACCTGATCATATCTGGAGATGTTGAGAGCAATCCTGGACCATTTGGTGCAAGAGGTAATATTTTTACATTTATAAGTAGTAATATTGTTTTTCTCTAATAGATCTCTTGAGAAAGGAGCCAAAGATTTCTGATCTCCATAGAATATTTATTCAATCTGATGCTGCATGTTACTGGAAAACCATCGGTATAGCATTAGAAGTCAAAGTGAATGACCTGGTCATTATTTCAAATGAAACAGAAAGTAATCTTGGATTTGTCTTTGAAAGGTGGAGACAGAAATATGAAGATGTCACATGGGAAAGGATTATTCAAGTTTGTAAAGATTACGAGTACGGGAGAGTTTGTCATGCCATCTCTAAGTTTTTGTCATCTCGTGAAGCACACAGCACGTATGGAAGTGAACCTGACTTTGACTCTACTTACACTGGAAGCATGACAATACGCAAGGAGAATGAAAATGGATATTCAACGAAAACAGTCCATGGACTACTGATCATACTGATTGCCATCATCATAGTCCTGTGCAACATCATTTATCAAATGCGGACTGAAATCTGTCAATGCTAAAACAAAACTGCTGCAATTCTACATGTAAATAACACTGCTGTGATTTTATATGTAAATAACACTGCTGTGATTGTATTATGAACTGTTTGTTGTATCCTGTATGTATTGTTTTATTGTGCTGACATATTATTTTATTATCGCAAGGAAATTTTTATTACACCAAAATTGTGGCTCTTTCTCTTTAGCTTTTTTTTCTTTTTTTGACTGTACCTTGTTGAGAATATTTCTTTAATTACCTTCACAAAACATAATGCAGTTTTATTGTATGAAGTACTGTTTATATTGTTTGACATTTTGTTTTTTCCTCACAAATTTTAAAGCCAATACCTTTGCATCAGAAAATGTATATTCATTGCCAACATTATTTTTTCTTTTCATAATGAATAAAAAACAATAATTATAAAACACACAAGATGCTAGATATTAGAAAGAGAATTGACAGCTCTTCTCGTATGATGCATGATGTCATCAGCTAGAGTCTGAGCTGAGCTGTATCTAACAGTCTCCAGTGAAAACACAGCAATGAGGAGCTTCATTATCGTAGCCTAGTAATGGGCGGGGTCACTAGGGGGTGTGGCTTGTGTTTATCTCACCTTAAACTGCTGACAGTGCTCGTTGAGTTGATTGTTACTGCCGAGGAAACCCCAAGCAAAGACGGGGGAAATGGTCTCACTTAGACTGTAGAATAGGTACATGAACCCATTCTTACTCTGTGAGAGAGGGAGGGAGGGAGGAGGTTAAATTAAAGTGATTATGTTTGAGTTGTATGTACTTTTAATAAACTCTTCTTAGTCTTTAGAATAGACCAAACTGCTGTATTTAACATCTGTAAAAGAAGACAATATTGATCATTAAGCATTAGTTACTATTATTATTATTATTATTATTTATTTATTTATTTATTTATTTATTTATTTATATTTATTTACACTTTGCTTGATCCCATCTGATATCCATCCATTCTGTATCACTGACAGCATTGCTGAAGGAGGACTAGCCAGGTCATCAAAAGCATCCAACAGCAAGAAGTCCAAAGCAATGTCATATATATTCATACACACTACCTGAGAATGATAAAACAACCATTTAATACATGTGCATATACATCAGTAGCTATTAATCTCTCTCTCTCTCTCTCTCTCTCTCTCTCTCTCTCCTCCCTCCCTCCCTCTCTCTCTCTTACTCCTCTCTCTGATAGTTCGATGTTCGTCTTATTCAAATTCTCGGGTACTTGACAAAACTTTATGATATTATCGTAAGCTTCAAGAAATGGACCAGCATCCTAAACAACACAGAAAACACTAAAAACCCAATCCAACAAATATCATACATGTATAAATATTAATATTTCAGTCTCCCTTACGTATGCTGATTTTATCAGTAGTGATACTACCATATCTCTCCCGGCATCAATCAGGTATTCTCTGTTCTCTGGTGACTGCAGTAGCAGGTTCATGGCCTGACGGACACAGTGTAGCTTAGCTAGGAAATCTCTTTCACTCGTGCAGCATAAAACATCAGTTCTAAGAAAGAGAAAAGAAAAGAGAACAATTAGTATCATTATTATTATTATTATTATTATTATTATCATTATTATTATTATTATTATTATTATTATTATTATTATTATTATTATTATTATTATAAGAGGACAGGGGAGGAACAGGGGAGGGACATAGAGGGGCGAAGAGAAAGGGGGAGAAGCCCTAAACATAAAAAAACAAACAATTATTATTATTATTATTATTATTATTATTATTATTATTATTATTATTATTATTATTATTATTATTATTATTATTATTATTATTAAATCAATAATAATGTTTTTTATACCTCATTGTTCTACATGGTACTGCTCCTCTTTCAACAACTTCCAGTGATGATATGTAGAACGAATGCTTAAATGACACCTAAATAATATTCTAGTGGGCGTGGTGATGGGTGTGGCTTACCGTATCCAAGTGCTGGGTAGCAGAAACGAAGGAGTCATCTGAATCCGATAAATAATCAATAATGGGCGTGGCCATGTTATGAGGGGAATAAGGATTAGAGAGGTCAGTAGCATCATAGAAATCATCGGAGAGGGGACCTGTAATGTAATTAATATGGGCGTGGTTCAGTAAAAGGGGAGGGGCTTGTTTTAATAATAATTAATTATTCTGACCTGTTGAATAGTTTTGTGATAAACTTAAGAAAATGTCGCTATCTTGTCTCACGGAAATGCTATCGTAATCCTCTGGTTGAGAAAATTCCACCGATAGTCTTCGTCTGACTCCACCCGAGCTCCACCCTCTCTGTCCGTTCCCCTCCTCCTCCTCTTCTTGAGTGGTGTCATCAACAATGAGGTCAGGTATGGGGGTGGGGAATGAGTTTATGCGGTGATGAGACTTAACATCTGAAAAAATAAATAAAATAAATAAAATAAATAAGATTTTATGATACATATTGACATCCTTATGCTATGTAAAAAGTTTGAGCTGATTCCGACTTAATTTTTCCATTCTAAGAAATAGCTCAAAATCTGAAAAATACCCAAGGCTATAGCCCATGCTTTTTTCGGAAAAATGGCTAAAAATTGACCCCCAATTTTTATTACATTTTCTGATACATATTGATGTCCTTATGCTATGTAGAAAGTTTGAGCTGATTCCGACTTGAATTTTTCTAGTTACGGCCATTTTAAGAAATAGGCCAAAATCTGAAAAATACCCAAGGCTATAGCCCATGCTTTTTTCCGAAAAACGGCTAAAAAATGACCCCCAATTTTTATTACATTTTCTGATACATATTGATGTCCTTAAGCTGTGTAGAAAGTTTGAACTGATTCCGACTTAAATTTTTCAAGTTATGAGCAATTTTATGAACTATCAAACAATGACACATACATGTACATGATAAGAGCATTAGATATTTACATGTACATGTACATGTATAAATAAATATTTCAAAAATGCATATATACATGCATAAATATTATCATAAACACGTTTAAATTAAAAATGAACAATGTACATGTACATCTACCAGTACTTACAGTCATGTTGAAAGAGGCAGCAACTTTAACAGAAGTGACATGTTTATTATTAGACAAATATAGTAACATCTTGTACTAGAGAGGGAGAGAGAGAGAGAGAGGGGGGGGGGAGAGAGAGAGAGAGAGAGAGAGAGAGAGAGAGAGAGAGAGAGTAAATCCAATTCACTTAATAATTGAAGATGAAAGTACATGTACATCATAATGGATACATCATGTGTGCATTAATGTATACACAATGGGAATTAAAACAACATTATTATTATTAGTATTAACAAGAGTGGATAAGTTATTTAGGGAGAGTGTCTAACCTGCCTATATTCTGTGATACCACAGCGCATATGTTTACATCCGTTTTTTGCAAGTATACAGAGTTAATCTCAGTAATCTTCAAATTTATGGGTGTGGCTAATAAAATGGCGCTTGAAGCATGCAGGCAACTTTAAGACTTATATCTCCACTCTGAGGATCATGTAGTGCGAGAAACAAGCAGGAGCAGACAGGAATATGTTCTTCTAATGGTTGGCTATTTCTTTTTTGCAGCTTTTTGACTTGGAATGAATATAAGGACGCAAGAATGCCTACTTGGTGCTAATCACCATGCTATGT